GAGACATTTTTGGTTGTCACAACTGGGGGGAGATGCTATTGGCATCTAGTGGGTGAAGGATACTTAGGTAGGTGCATCCTACAATTCCCAGGACAGCATCCCACAGCAAGGAATATAGCCTGAAATGTCACCAAGTTTGGCTGTGGGGAAGAGCCTCTACTATGTTCACACATTTCTCAAATTTAAAGGATTATACAATTGCTTTTTATGCAATTTCATGTGAAACTGCTTCTACAGAGCAAGCAGTTCCCAAAAATAGGTCACACGGTACCATATACTCAAATCTAACCAAGCAATCCTTTCAAGACTCGGTTACAATAATTACAAAAGGAAATGTCTACCAAGTAAAGAAAAAAGTATTAATAAATATAATAATAGGATCCTTGGGAAATGTAATGCTTTTGGATCATATGCTAAGAAGAGAGAGAGAGAGAGAGAGAGAGAGAGAGAGAGAGAGAGAGAGAGAGAGAGAGAGAGAGAGAGAATATTTTTTTTTTTTTTTTGAGACGAAGTCTTGCTCTGTGGCCCAGGCTGGAGTGCAGTGGTGTGATCTTGGCTCATTGCAACCTCTGCCTCCTGGGTTCAATTGATTCTTCTGCCTCAGCCTCCTGAGTAGCTGGGACCACAGGCGCACACCACCATGCCCAGCTAATTTTTGTACTTTTAGTAGAGACGGGGTTTCACCGTATTGGCCAGACTGGTCTCGAACTCCTGACCCTGTGATCAGCCCGCCTCAGCCTCCCAAAGTGCTGGGATTACAGGTGTGAGCCACTGCGCCTGGCCTGAGAATATTCTTGACTAGATGAAACAGATGATCAAATAAAATTTTTCTTAGAGAAATAAAATATTGCAATGCTCTTCTATTTTCTTTACTAAATATAAGGAAAGAAAATTTAGACAAAAACTTTAACTGCAGAAACAAATCTACATACAAACCAAATCTACATACAGATAAATCATAGAATATATATCTGAATGCAAAGAAAAGCTCATAGATTGCTTTATTGGCAAAAATACTAACAAATCAAACCAAGTGAAAATTTACATTATTAGTTTATTGTTCTTAAAGTTTAACAATGACCACTATGTTGGAATACCCGTATAAGAAGGTCTTGAATAAAACTAAGTTTTACCTAGGTTACCAAAGTTACATTAGGAAATCCTATTGACATAATCTTCAAAATATAACAGGAATCTAACTAATTGTTTATTTTATTTTTTTTACTACCTTTACTACCTCTGGCCTGAGCCAGGCAGGATCATCTCCTATCTCCTTTTTACTCTCCCCTTTGCATATTTTGCCTCAGCCACACTGGCCTCCTTGCTATTTCTCAAGCCGGCTACTTGTGATCCTGTCTTTCTGTCTTTGCACTGGCTATTCCTTTTACCCAGAATGCTCTTCCCTCAGCTATCAGATTACCCTACTTCCTCTTTTCCAAGTCCTTGCTCAGATATCATCATCTCAATGTGGCCTGCTTGACCACCGTGTTTATAAAAGTCAGCCCTTCTCTGGACACTCCCTAACCTTCTGACCATTCTAGTTTTTTCTGTGATACTTTTCACCGTCTAGCCTACTATGTAGTTCATTTCTGTTTACTGAGTATTGTCTCCCTGAACTAGAATGTCAGCTCCATGAGGGCAGTGAATTTTGTCTGTTTTTTTTTTTTTTTCACTGAGGTAGCTCCAGTTCCACAGTGCCTGTCACACAGTAGACACTCAGTAAATATCTTTTGGATGAATGTTTTAAGAAAAATACACCAAAATTAAAAATTCTCAATTAACCAAATGTGAGTATTCTAATTATCCATGTAAAAATGTATAGATTTCAGCTTCTGAAATATAAAGAATATCAAGACTGGGCATGGTGGCTCACGCCTATAATCCCAGCACTTTGGGAGGCCAAGGTAGAAAGACTGCTTAAGCCCAGGAGTTGGAGACCAGCCTGGGCAACAGGGTGAAACCTCATCTCTACAAAAAAATACAAAAAAAATTTAGCTGGGTGTGGTGGTACATGCTTGTAGTCCTAGCAATTCTAGAGGCTGAGGCACGAGAATTGATTGAGCCCAGGAGGTGAAGCTTGCAGTGAGCCGAGATCGTGCCACTGCACTCCAGCCTAGGCGACAGACTGACAACCTGTCTCAAAAAGAAGAAGAAGAAGAAAAAAAGAATATCAACATTAATGTGTGTTATGTTGAGTGTGCCTCCCAAGTGAACAATGGCATTTTTTGGGGTGGTTTCTTCTTACTAATTTGCAATTTGAGAATCACTTCTTTTTCATTCCTTGGCATGTTTCTAGATGCTTCCTCTAAATTATTTAGCATATACTTCAGAAATAATAAACTAATCTAATATACTCCAATGTAAGACTACTTTTGGGCCTTTGCACAAACTGTTCCTTCTGCCTGAAATGTCTTTTGTCTCCATATAACTACTGCATGATTCAAGACAAAGCTCCAATGTGACCTCCCTCAGGAAATTTCTCTGACCTTGTCTTTTAATGATACTCATCACCTTCTACCTTGCACAATAATTATCTGTCTGTCTAAAGGTAGCCACCAACAAGTTCTCCCATCCTTGTATATATATGGCACTCTGCCAATCAAAATATGAATCTATGTTTCCTTCCCTTGAACTAAGACTAGCCTTGTGACCTTTTTGTGAGGTATGTTTCAACTAATGAAATGCATAAGATGTGCCACAGAATCAATTTGCTTCAGGAGGCCTAGCACCTTCCATATTTGCTCTTTTGGAGCCCTAAGACACTGTCTTGCTGGAGACGGGGCCATGTGGAAAGAGG